GGAGATTGAGGAGATTGAGACCATCCTGGCCAACATGGTGAAGCCCCATCTCTACTGAAAAAAATAGCTGGGTGTGGTGGTTTGTGCCTGTAGTCCCAGTCACTCAGGAGACTGAGGCAGGAGAATCGCTTGAACCTGGGAGGTGGAGGTTGCAGTGAGCCAAGTTTGCGCCACTGCACTCCAGCCTGGCAACAGAGCAGGACTCTGTCTCAAAAATAATAAAGAAAAATAAAGTTTAGAAAATAGTTTATAACATTTTTAAGATATGCAGATAAGACAGTTTTTATTCTTACACCTTTTAAATTCAGAAATCATGTAATGATGGAAATATTTCCACAAGAGTCTTTTTCAAAATGCTCTTTCCATGGCATGGATTTCTTTCAAAAAGCGGTTACTTTTACACATTATTAAATGGCCAGCTTTACTTTGAAGGAACAGATGACTTATTTTATTTTTTAAATTATTGTCAACAAACTATAAATAACTGCTATAATTGTAGAATATTGAGCAGATTTGAGACATTTGCCTTTTTGTAAAGAGAAATTTGTAATTCATTTCTTTTTTCTTTTTCCTTTTTTTTTTGGAGACAGAGTCTCACTCTGTTGTCCAGGCAGGAGTGCAGTGGTGCGATCTTGTCTTACTGCAACCTCTGCCTCTCAGTTCAAGTGATTCTCCTGCTTCAGCCTCCCATGTAACCGGGATTACAGGCACCTGCTACTATGCCCAGTTAATTTTTGTGTTTTTAGTAGACACAGGTTTTCTCCATATTGGTCAGGCTGGTCTTGAACTGCCGACCTCAGGTGATCCACACGCCTTGGCCTCCCAGAGTGTTGGGATTACAGGCATGAGCCACCGTGCCAGGCCTGTAGTTCATTTCTTAGGGCTTTGTGGAAGCATTCTGCAGTGTCTGCATTTGAAAAGTCTTAAAAAAAAAAATTCACCACAATCCATCTAATAGGAGGCCAGTCCCACTGTGTTGCAGAATCCTGAAAGTGAAGGAATGAGTGAGACCACACCTGCTGGCCCTTTGTCATGTGGGATTCCCAGTCCTGCCTGAGGATTCCTTCATGCATGTCACAATCAAAAATGTGGATGCCTTGACATGAAGCGAAGGAGCCGCTCTTGTCAGTTCCACATATTCACTATTAGTTAATGAAGCATAACTTTTTTTTTTTTCCTTTTCTGAGATGAAGTCTTGCTCTGTCGCCCAGGGTGGAGTGCAGTGGCATGATCTTGGCTCACTGCAACCTCCTCCTCCTAGGTTCAAGCGAGTCTCCTGCCTCAGCCTCCTGAGTAGCTAGGACTACAGTGTGCACCACCATGCCTAGCCAATTTTTTGTATTTTTAGTAGGGACGGGGTTTCATTATGTTGGCCAGGCTGGCCTTGAACTCCTGACCTCGTGATCTGCCTGCCTCAGCCTCCCAAAGTGCTAGGATTACAGGTGTGAGCCACTGCACCCAGCCTAGTAAAGTGTAATTTTTAAATGGAAATTAAAAACAATGTGATAAACATTCTAAAGCATTATCCCGAGGTGCTCAGTTTTGTGCCCCTAGGGTGTATATGCCCCACATAGGAAAGCACTGTGCTGTACCGTAGCTGCCTGGCATTTCTCTATATTCTAGTTATGTTATCATTCAAGGTCTGTTTAGTTTTTTATTTCTTCTGATTGAAGATGTCTTCTTGACAGATAGTTGTATACCTAGTTTTTTTTTTTTTTTTT